CGTATACGATTCCTATTTACAGAAAGGGGTTGGCGTTTAATGTTTCTGAGGTGGAGATTGATGTTGGCTTTGCGCTGGATCTGGTGTTGAGTGTTGAAGCGGCTGTGGTTATTGGGCATGGTTTTCACCTTCGGTTTGATGAGGGGTTGTTCATGGAGTTGAACCTGTTTGCGGATGAGGTTGGGATACTGGAGCAGTGAGTTGCTTTTCGACCTGTCTTTTGGACTCTGTTGACACTTCGCAGCAACGGGGCGCAATTCGAGTTCCTCCCCGTCTTCATTGAAGCAGGAGGAATCGTTCTCACGGCATTGCTGCGAGCGAGCATCTCTGCTGGCATCAACATTGAAACACCGCTCGACATGAGCATCGAGGCATTTGGACAGAACTACTCCATCCCCAGCGCCGGCGGTGGTGTCTCCGTTCTGTTGTATGCCGACCTGGCGAAGCTTACAACCACTATCAGCACCGAAGTTGGCGAGGACGAAGGCGAGGATTGTGCCATTGGGGCGATTGAGGAGTTTGAAGTCGCTCTCGGTGCCGCTGCGGGTGCGAGCGTCTATCTCTATGACCGGACCTGGGGTCCAACAGCCGCGACGCACACGCCTGTGTTTTACACGACGCTTGGGCGGGTGTGTATCGCTGAAGAAGCTGCAGCTACCCCGGCGGTTGTCCTGAGACAAGAGGAGGTGGTTACCACGACGACGGTAACGTACACAGGTGTCAAGTGCACATCGGCTGGGGTGCTAGACTGTCCTGCCTCTGCGCAGTCGGTTCACAAGGAGACGGCAGTTGAGACGAGGGCGGCAGGTGGACAGCCTGGGTTGTCGACGGTTGGGTTCGGGGGAAAGGCGCTCAGCCTTGGAGCAACATCTGGACGGCCCGTCTCATGGGTGCCGCCGCCTCCAACTGCGGGGGTAGACGAGAAGGTAGGACAGCACGACGAGCAAGGAGTCAACATGGGGCTGGTCATTGGGCTGAGCGTTGGCCTGGGGGTGCCGGCGCTTCTGGCTGTGCTTGGCGGTGTCTTGTGAGTTTTTTTTTCCGCGATCTGATGAGGCTGAATTCTGTGACTAACGAGATCGAAGCTTTTGCATCCGAAGACGGCGGGGTAAGACGGTCTTGGGTGGTGGTGGTGTTGTGTATGAGCAGGTTAGCACGGGGGCTGGGTATGATTCTGGGAAGGGGGGAGTTATCAAGGGGCCTGTTGTTGAGGTTGTGCCGCAGAGGGTGGTGGGAGGTGGGTATTAGGGATGGATGTGTGGGTGGACTTGATGATTGATGATGATGATTCCGTTAAGTTTGCTTTGGGTCTTCTCGAATTTGAATCTTCAGCCCTATGAGTAGTGACGGAGGTGAGGGAGGGGACTCGAGGGGGACCGGGAGGTGTTTGTTAGGGAAGCCCCTGAATAAGGAAGAACGAATTTCTGATTGGCTGGATGCTCTTCCGACTCGCCCAATTGACGTACTGAATCACCCGTAGCCCGCCCAATCATGGTCAGCCGAAGCAGCCAATCAATCGTCCCCGTTAGCCTTCGGGACTTGGTCTTTTCAGCCCTTCCTCTTCCTCTTCCACTTCCCTTCTCCATGTTCTCATCTGCAACGTCCCATCACCCTCCGTCTATTCTCGTCACTTGTATTTGGCATGCTCACCTCTCACCCGGCTGACGACCGTGGCGCCGTCGCCGGCGAGATTCTACCCCCGATTATGACAGTGCAGGCAAACCTCGTGTAATGGCAGTGCCTCCACCTCCAGCCCTGCCATATTAATAGCCAGCCTCTAGGATTGCAAACTGCGACCTGCTGCGCTAGCTCCCGCCTGTCTAGTCCGAGACCGTCGTCGTTGACCCGGCGACTTCGAGGGCTGGAGGGTTCACTAGGTTAGTGCCTCGCCATGACGGATGCGGGCATGCGGAGAGGCCGGGTGTCTCTGACGTCGGTTTCTATTCTGTCTCATTTTGGTGCCATGGTCGTTGCTCGCGTGGTCGACCATCCGAATCTGGGTTTACCGTTTCCCGCTTTCCCCGGAATATGCACCATCGTGGCTGGCTGTCAGCCCAGACACCATCATGGGGGTAAGACCTCGGACCAGGGGCGCAGTTTGCATGGGCTGAGGGAAGACATGACTGTCTGCATGCGCTGAGGGTAAAACATGCACATGTTGTTGCCTCGTGTGTGTGCCTCTCCCGAGCCCTCCCCGCGGGGAAGATCTGCGATCTCTATTCCCCGACTTGTTCGGACCCCGTGTAAGATGCTGCCGGGTGCCGGATGCCGCCTCGTATCTGGCCGGGTCATACACCCCAGAATAATCCTGGTGCTGACGCTGACGACGCAGCGGCACTGAGACATGCACAACTCACATCTTGGATGCCTCAACTTGCTTGATGCCTAGCAAGTAGCATCTGCTACGTATCTTCCTCCTGTCTTCAAGGGTCTCGCTCGGCCCGATCTACTGCTAGCGGCACCTTCAGCCCTGAGGAATGTCTACGCTAGGAGGGTGGCAGCCGCTTCCGATCCAAACCACGCGGGACGGCCGCTGCTAGCTCTGCTACCCTGCCTCCTCCGGGGCACAAAGAACGGAAACTTTGGGATGGCTGCTGGTCAGCGGTGCGTGGCAGGGCAACGTGTTTGGCGTTGAACTTGGTGAGGCTCACGGTGTGATGGTAGGAGACATTTTGATATAAAAGGGGATCGACTTGCTCGACCAGAACAACTTTTTCTCTCTCATCCTCATCAGCATCAACATCCTCAAGCATCCAGCATCATCACAGCATCCATCCAAAGCATCTAGCCACCAGCACTCTACAAGCCACTTCCATCTTTACTACTACTTCCACTTCACTTCCACTTCACTTCCACCACCACCATCAAAATGCAGTTCTCCATCACCGCCGCCGTCGCTGTCTTCGCCGCCCTCGCAATGGCTGCTCCCGCTCCCGAGACCCCCAGCTCAGGCGCCTGCACCCCCGCCACCTACGCCTGCCTCGACGACGGCGCTGGCTGGCAGGTCTGCAACACCGGCGGTGTCTGGGTCGTAAGTCTTCCCCTTCTCTCTTCTCTCACTCTACAAGTCACTAACACTTCTCAGTTCGCCGGCGACTGCCCCCCCAAGACCAGCTGCCACTTCAACGTCCAGAACCAGAGCCCCTACTGCATCTAAGCAGCAGACAGCTTGGCCTCACTTCAATAGCGGGCATCACTCCGCATACACATTCGCATGGAACTCTTTTTTGGCTGCGCAGTACACGGGCAAGGCTTCGGGTGTCCGGGTAATTTAATCACTCCTTTTGCAATCACGGGACGATAGAAAATTGGAGTTCTTCGGTCTGGCTTCGCGACGGGTCTTGTCATAGGTAGCTTGCAGACATTCACTGGAATAATACATCTTCAACTCCGATCGTCAGTCTTTTGCAGTGAAAAGTGATTCGCTCTATTCTTCTCTTGCTGGACAGCGCTTGTCCATCGACTTTGCCCCTGGCTTGCTTCCTTCAGCTTACTTCCCTTGCCTTGCTTCCCCTACGCTGTCGGCCAGTTCTTGTTGAAAACAATGTTGCTTCCGTTGGCAGTAGCCGCAATGCTCCGGTCCGACAGGAACAGACAGTACTTTGCCACATCCTCCAGGGAGACGGCGTTGACTTTCGGGTCGAAGCCAGGCAGTGTGGACTGCATGATTCCGAAGCCTTCCATGTTGAAGGTCTCCGGAGGCTGGCTCTTGGCAATCTCCGTGTTTGGCATGCCGCCGAGCGAGAGGGCGATGGAATAGATGCCCTCGGGCCCGTAGAATCCGGCCGTGTTCTTGGTGAGGCCGACGAGGGCGTGCTTGCTGGCGGTGTAGGCGGCGCCAGCGGCAGTGCCGCACAGGCTGGCGGACGAGGAGATGTTGATGATGATGCCGCCGGCGTCCCCTTGTTTAAGGAAGTGGCCGATGGCGGCTCGGGAGGCGAGGAAGGGTCCTGTGGCGTTGACGTTCATGACGCGGTCCCACATGGCCTTGGTCAGGGTGCCGACGCCGTCGAAGGCGTCCATGATACCGGCGTTGTTGATGAGGATGTCCAAGCGGCCGCCGAATCTCTCAGAGACCGTAGACACAACGCGGGCGATCTTCTCTTCGTCGGTGACGTCGGCGACCAGGCTTATCAAGCGGGTGCCGTAGTTGCCTTCAAATTCGGCGGCTGCCTTATTCACGCGGTCTTTGTCGATGTCGCAGATGGCCACATTGGCGCCGGCGTCAAGATAGGCCTTTGCAATGACGAAGCCGAGTCCTGCACCGGATCCGGTGACGAGAACCGTCCTGCCTGATAGAGACATGTTGAGATATGAGGCGGAATGATAGAGGAGGAGTTGAGTGATGAGGAGGAGAGTAGAATGAGTGCCCAGGTGCTGCTCGGTCTGTGGCAGCATCGAGTAGGCTTTATACTGCCGATCCCTCATCCTTCAAACAGCTTCCCCTCATGCTGGCTGTTGTTAGTGATCTGTTAGTGTTCCTGCCGCTCGGCCCAGGGTTTGAACCTTATGCAGCCGCCCGTCCATCATCTGGTATGAGGGCCAATGAGCTCGGTTTCGGTTTCAGGGGTGCTGTGCTTTTGACAATCTTCGCCAGTACGAATTGACTCGGAGATCCGAAGGCGAAGGCAATCCGAAGGAATCCGAAGTTACAATTGATTCCCAACGGGGCCTTTAAACCGAATAAGAGATGCACAGCACTCTGAGGCAGCCGAATACGACTACGTCGGGGAGTGGGAAGAGGCCGGCCGGCCACTGAATCATCACAAGTGCCGGGCAGGGGAGGTTCCAAGTGTGGGGTAACAGACCGAACGAGGTGCCAATCAGGGGCGGGGGTCAAGAATGGATGTGCCTGTTCCTCTTGCCACCTGCTGGGCAAAAGTTAACGCAATCATCTCTTGGGCGGGAAGTGATTGGCGAGAAGGGGGACGATCAAAGGAGCAGATGGCAAAAGGAAAAGATCTTCGCGTGAACCTCGTGAAGAGGAACGTCAGGAATTGAGCCCGACGTGGGGGTCGAACCCACAACCTTGAGATGTGTACTCTGGTAAGAGTCTCACGCTCTACCGATTGAGCTAGCCGGGCGGCTAGTAGATGAGATGAGCCTCGCTTGACGTGCCTATGATTCTTTCCTACCCCCCTTTGCCCCTATTCCCTAATCATCACCATCGCAGCATCACCACCCCCTCGTCGGAATCAAACCAAAAATCGTTCGCTTTGAATCGCTTACACTCGCTATCATCAACAGCTATCCAAACACAATACTCAAACCCATCTCCTCCGCAACTCTCGTCCATCCCATCCCCCCAATATCCGGACCGCCTCCTGCCTTGGCCAGGTCCTTCCGTCGCCACACCTCAAGCACCACCTCCCACGCCTTGCCCGAGTTGACGACCCCTTTGAGCCCCTCGAGTGCCGCAAAAGCCTGTCTCGCCATGCCCCTGTCCCGACCTTCACTCGCCTCGAGTGACGCCACGAACAGAGGCCACAACAGACCCGCCCCCGTGCCGCTGCGCAGGTCGCCTGCACTGCTCCTCTCACCTGTGGAAGCCCCATTGGCAACAGCCGCAGCGTATGGTGACGACGCAGCCGCAACACAGTGCCACAGAGCCGCCCGCGCGTGCCTCTGTACCGGCTCACTCCCCGGCGCATGTCCGCCCACGCAGCGGTGCAGGAAGGTGAGAGCAGCCTGTTTGAGTGCCAGGCCTCTGCTGGCTGCTGACCGCACTGCGGCCACCTCCATCTCTGGTGCGTCCTCGGGTCCGTCGACGACGCGATTGACGAGTGTGTACCCTGGTGGCAGCGGCGGCTCCCACGCCATGAGCGACTGCTCGACGGCTCCCCGGGCGGCGTCGTGTTCGGCGTGCGCGGGGGTTCGGGGGGAGGGTGGGATGTGGCTGAGCTCGGCGAGACGGTGGATTGTTGGAAGAAGGGAGGAGGCCAGACCCATGGGCGAGTTCGCGGGTGGTGTGTCGGAGGCGAGAGATGGGGGCGACACCGGGGGAATGTTCGAGGAGAGCGCATGTAAAGAGTCGAAGTATCCAAATGCCTGCCTTGTTAGTTGGAGCTAGAAGTTGGCAGGAGGGTATTTGGCTCACCTGCTCGAACATGGAAAGACTGGTCAGGTCACTGGCCAGAGGCAGCTGCAGCAGTTGCCAGGCCTGGCCGAGGTGTTGTGTGACGAGGTTTGCGTGTCCTCTCTGCACCGTCTGCGAGCTGTCAGCTATGCCACTTGATCACAGCTCGGGTGTACTCACCACTTCGTAGTGAAGTAGCAAAAGTAGAGCCGCCAGAGTTTGTTCCAACCCTCGCACGTCCTGGAGAGGCGCCTGGGTCAAGATTGATCCCAACGCTTGGTCGTAGAATGTCGCATGGTCAATGTCTCCGTGTGTGCCTGCTCGAGTAAGGTGTGCCCCGGCCAGCGCCAAGGCTGCCTGGCGCACAACGCTGCTACTGTAGCTGAGAGGTGTGATGAGGCGAACGATGGGATCGCCGGCACCCACCGACTGGCTAAGGACGATGGAGTTTCGGAAGTGGTCCAGGAGAACATCTTGGTCGAGAGACTGTGGCCGGGGAGGCGAGGGAGGTTGCTGCTGCTGGATGTGGCCTCCAAATGCCTGCATGATTCCCCCTGAGAGAGGCGATGGCGCCGTCATCCAGCCCATGACGTTGAGATCAAGCTGCGAGGCCGGTTCCGCGGGATTCGGGCCTAGGAACTGCGGCGCTGCCATCGATTCGTCCCACATGACGGAACCCGACAGGTAGGGCCACGGGAGGAGGTCCTCGTCAATGCCCGGGCTCCACGCCAGCGAGGGAATCACCTCTGCCTGAGTACCACATACTGGACCCGAGAGATCGAATGGCGTGGGTACCAGTTGGTAGGTATTGTCGCCAATGAGGCCATCATCGAAGCCGAGGAGCGAGGGGGAGGTGGTGACAGTCGAGTCGGACATGGAGGCGTCAGCACCCATGGAGGCCCACGAGTCCATCTGCGCCGCGGAGCCGTCAAGGTGGGAATCGGTCGTCGGCTGGCCGTAGTGGAAGGCCTGGGTGGCCCCCGGTCCCGTCTCCGGGGAGGTGGCGAGTGTGTCGTCGGGTGGCGAGGGCACGGTGAACTTGGTGGTGCGCTTCTTCCGCTTCTTGATGGGCTCGTATACGCACTCGACGCCAAACTGGATGCATCGCGCGCATCGAGGTTTGTCTTCGGAACACTTTTTCCGCTAGAATGGGGTTGGTAAGATGGCAATCATAAGCTTGCGGTGGTCATCTCGAACCTTGTCACGACTGGGAGGGGAGTCAGTAGGAGCAGTGAAAGTGCATCGGGCATTGTGTCTTACCAGTACTTGCATCCTGGGACCCATTGTTAGTTTTCAATGGCATTGAGGTGGCATTGGCTCTGTAGACTCACCTGCTCTTGATCTGCTCTTGACGGGCTTTGGCTGTATCGGTTTTGCATAGAGCATCATGCGCTCCTGGAACGATTGTGCCTGCTGCTGTTGTTGCTGCTGCTGAACGTCTCCGTCCTCTTCAGGCCTGGTGTTCAACATGGCTAAGAAGGCAGATCGTCCAGACTACTGAGATTTGGCTGATGTGGATGCTGGGAGGCCCAGGACGGGAGGGGAGGCAAACGAGGGAAGCAGGCTGCTGATATGGCATTCGCGGGGGAGGGATCTACTCGGACAGATCCGTAGAGAGGCAGGCCAGACGGCCGGCAAGGAACAACATCAGACGCCCTGCTCGACCCATGATGCATGGCCAGGCCAGGGGGAGGGGTGGCTGCCCAGGAGAGGACGGACAGGACAGGACAGGGTTCCCCAACTTTGAGAAATTTCGCCTCCCCCAGATCGGGTGACGAGAAGAGCACTTGAGGGGTAACACCTCCTGCAGGTGTGCTGCGCGTGTGCTGCGAGCCGGTGGGTAGGGGGTAGGGGGGTAGGGAGTAGGGGAAGAGGTGAAGTCATCTTGTGAGAGCGAGGAGAGGAAGCACCACAACGGCAGTACTAGCGAGAGTCTGAGTGGGTGTGGCAGTGCAGGGGTTCGGTTCTCGGGCGCCGTCGGTTCGCTTGAATGCACTGCTTGCTCTGGCGAGAAGCCGTCGGGGATGCTCCTGGGTCGAGGGAGCTTCGTTCTTCACTGGCACCCCTGGCCCTGCTTCTGGCCGCCACCTAGGCTCGGACAGGTGCGAAGGCCCGGAGCCGCGCATGACCCGTCACCTTTATCCGGGCGATTACTTCCCCATACCACCTTCGAGCGGGCGGGCGCCGGGCCCCCCTCACTTCCCCCTCGTGGAGAAGCGGTGCTCTGGGCCGTTGCTTGATGGCGCGGGAATCTCATGTTCGTCCTCCGGCGGCCAGGTGATGCCGGACAAGCGCGTAGGCTTTCTCGAGTGCTGATTTGCTGGAAGTGGCGGAGCCCAGGGGAGCAATACCGAAGACCACCTTGGCGGCCGGCTGCCGAACCAAGGTTCCTCGGCGGAGGGGAGAGCAGAAGCAGAGGATGGCGTTGTCGAGGGCTTGCAGTAGACGAACTCGTGGCTGTCGGGAGGCGGGAAGCTGGGAAGAGCCGACCGACAGCATGATATAAGGCTGAGTCTCCAGTGAATGTGATGTGGTTGAAGATGCCGAGTATCTTCATTCCACGTCTTGGAGATGAGATTTGTTGCGTCCCAGGAACCACAGGAAGATCCTGCCTGTCATGCCTTCGCTTACGGCCACGGGACCTCACTCCCGCCCAGTGCTACCTCACCACTGTCTTCCTCACCACCCTCAGGGACCGACGGGCGGAAATGCGACCTACCCTCGACAGCGCACGTCGTGGATGCCACTGGACAGACTGCAGCAACTGCAGGCCCCCTCTTCCCCTGCGGTGCGCATCGCAGTGTGCTTCCGCCAAACAACACTGAGGAGAAGAGGCAGGGCAGGACAGGGGTGGACAGGGGAGAATGAGGGGAGAGGCTTGAACACCCCCGTCCACGGGAGAAAGTGGTCCATCTGCTCCGCCGGGGATGGCGTCGGTTTTGGCCGCGGCCTTGGTCGGCGCTGATTCGCCACCTTTGATCATCCTCCGCGCCGTGGGCGGTGATGCTTGATTCGCGCTGCTTTGCCAGTGCTTTGCTTGGTGACTGGACCCTTGCACAGCGATCGGGGTGGCGCTCGGTCCATTCTGTCGCCAGGCAGGCAATCACTTGCGCTCACGGGGTGCAGCAGCCGTGCCGTGCTCTGTCCCTCGCCCCGGACTGGAGGGACTGCCTGACGGAATGACGGCAGAGTGTCTGTTCTGGGGAATGGTTCATTGGCCGTCTGGTTGTGCGGGCGTGGCATTTTCCTGGAGAAGTCTGGAGAAGCCGGAGTTGATGGCCCTGCTCGTTCCTCTCGCAACCTCGGCCTAGAACACGTTTAGCCCAGAATGTTTGGACTCGGCCAGGCCTGACATCTCCACATCTTCCTCGTACTTGTCGTCCTGCACCTCGGGCGAGCACCGCGTCTCGGGCGAGTACAGCGCCGAGCATACCCGGCCGGGACCCGCGTGAGATTTCAACATTGACTCCATCGCCCGTCAACCATCGTGACGGCCCGCTGGAGGCTCGGATGATTTCGGGCGGCAACCCAACTCTGCGGATACCATCATCTGTCAGGTTCCCCGTCGACTCGCGTCATTGAGGAACGACATGTACAGAAGCAGAAGGGTGGACCGATGCTCACGCCGACAAGGTCTCGTCACCCGAGCATGAGCCCAGACCGTACATCACACTACTGCAAGTGCAGGCTGACGGCGCGCGCTGGCTGCCCTGCTCGTCAGTTTCCCGATTGTCGAGTCTCTGGTGTTCGGCTTGGCGCTGCCGTGTCGGTGTAAGGGTGGCCGGATGAATCTTGACCCATTCGCCATGTATGTCCAGTGTCGAGGAACAGCCTGAATAGCCCTGTCTGCTGCCACTTGGAGCTCAGGGCCGTGGCTGTAGCTTAGTCGTCATGTCGGTCCGCCACACTTCGGCTTGGCGTGTTCTTCATGACGGGTGCTCCCCTTCGATCCCATGCCCATCCCTTGTTCTGAGTTTCGACAGTCCCCAAGATCACATCAGGTGCGAG